AAAAACTACTGTCAGCCCACTAACTCCCATCGCCTCCGCGTCTATCCTGTTTCTATCTCTAATACCAAGTCTATGACTTCTCATACCCTAGTCTCTTGTGTACCAACCCACGAATGTTGTGGTTATGCTTGCTTTTACTCGGTTCATTGTTGCTATTATTATTATTATTATTTATAATGGTAGTAAAAAGGACTCGTATCCGCCTTAGTAACGGACAGCCTAGGGATATGAAATAAATATAGGGGTTATAAGGAACAGATGGCAACGGGGATATAATGAAAATAAAACCAGGAATACAAAGGCCATAAGTCAATATAACTCTTCCCCTGTGAACTGAATCAAAATCTACAATCAAAATTAACAAAGTGAAATCCAGGTGGCCACGAAGGTGATGAGGCTACACATTAGATTGCCGAAGAAATATGAGAAGGGGGATAGCATAATAAGTAGCAACTTTAAACAGAATTATATCGATGAAACAGGAATAAAAATGAGACTATGTATCAGAAAACACCAGATTCTGCAGATACATTAATAATGAAAGATTTTAAATAGCAGGACACATTGCACGAAAAGAACATGAAATCGACCTAAAGGCAACAGGGCGTATATGGATCAAATAGAAGAAAATTCAATAGTCGAGAATTCACTGATATCCCGACTGTAAGAGATATAGTGAACAAAATACCGGGAAACAGAATCAATAAAACATTTTGTATTTCCTTAGCAAATTTGGAGATCAGGAGGCAATACTATGGGCAAAAAAGAATTGCGGAAAAAAGGAAAAGTAATCGCAGCGAAATGGCTCGAGGAACAATCGGAAGTAAAAGACTTCCGTAGTGAGCCTTGTCAAGCAAAGTAGCTAAAACATTTGTGGTTGGTACACATGCGACTATGGAGTAGGAAATTCATAGTTTCGGTATTATGAATAGAAGTGAGGCCAACTAGATCAAACTTCACTCAGGAGATAGGGAGGAGACCAGAGGTAGTTCTTTTACACTGCAGTTGTTTAATTATAAAGGTGCTAGGCCATTATATTTACCCAATTCTGAGTAAAAAAATGTCAAAGCTAAACAAAAAAGGCCAAATAAATTTGAATAATAAAGCTTTCTTGCACAATTGACTTTCAATTTTGTCTAACTCCGAATTTATTACTTTTTTTCTTTACTTTTTCTCTATTAACAAAATATTAAAGTTGGGTAAATAAAAGTTCCTTGCCCTAGCGGACAGTGAATGCTTGAGATTCTC